GGATCTCTTGAACAGCTTTTCAAGCTTACTCAACTTCAATGCTGTGGGATCTGTCTCGAATTCAAAGGGAGAGTCCGGTAGGTTGGTGGGTGTTTTGGATAACTGGGGTTAGATTTGGGGTAGGATCAGGGGTAGAGGTGGTCCCGTGGGAATGTCCGTATCATTCTGAACATTAGCTGTCTCCCCGAGGGTTGGAATTCCTGGCGAGGGAGGAGCTTGCTGCGAAGCAGATGCTCCGGTTTGCTGCTGTAACCTCACGATTAACTCTGCTTGTTCATTCATAACCGTGGCCTGCTGCTTGGCGAACCTCTGCCTGTCGGACAACATCTGCTGCATCATTTTCATACTCTCTTGGAGCTGGCGCACCATCTCCTCTAAATTGGCCATACTGTTCTGCTCTGACTGAATTATTGGTATATGTTCCCTTTCTATGGAGAAGCAGAATCCTGATCCCTACTGTACACAGGTGGGGTAGACAAAGCCCTCTGGACTGACTGTTGAACTGATGCCCTCTGCCTAGCTGTCCTCCGTCTGGTAACCGGGGGTAGAGAGTGGTACACTGGTTGTCCGTCTACCAGATCCTCAGATCGATGAGTCGACGACCTCTAATCTAAAGTGCTTGGGGAATATCTACTGGGTCAGAAGCAATTGTGCTCAACTACCTAGTAAAAAGATAAATAAAGCATATAAATAAACAGACAATTGGACAGCGTAACAAGTAAAATAAACACAACACACAGCTGGGTATCACAACAAACTGCAACAAGATGAATGTACTGTTCCTTAATCACTGATCACTGTTTCCAAATCGTTGCCCCCAAGTCTGAATCGATACCCGTAGATGACTGATTCCCAAAAACAATGATGCCCGCAGGCCTGACACTCAGACTTACGAACTGATATGTGTGTTCCCTGCATAGAACACTCTAAAAACACGTAGCAAGTAAAAGGAGAGCCAAAACACCCCTAAGTTGGGGTAGGGTTTCCCTGTCTATTTTTGTCAGGAGCTAGGGTTTCACTATGCACGCAGCAGTTTTCAAACAACTTAACATCGGGTAAGCAACCTGTCCTAGTTTGGAATAGTCACAATGGATTTCGACATCACTAGGGTCGAATGGTAGAAAAGGGTGCCCCGGTAAAACCGGGGTTTGTGTTCCCATACTGTCAGAGCTCACAACCGGTCAGCCTTATGGCATGCTTTGACAAAGTCAAGCCTCCGGCAAATCGTTCAGGATGGCAGATGGCAAACACGGTGTCCTAGGCGCACCAATGCACATGCAATGCAAAGAGACACATAAATAAAATCAAAACAGGATATCACGAGTTCGAGTCAAGCTCTCTAAATCCCTAGCGGAGTCGCCAGAAACTGTAGACACGCCCCGGGCCTCATGCTACAGTTTCGGACCAATTTGGTCACGGTCCTGTATCTAATCTCGCAGAGTGCAATGCAAGACCGATGAATCATCAAAGAGTCCAAATCTGGCAAATCATTTTTGAAAACAGATTTTTTGAAAAAAGTGCCAAACATGGACCGCTTTGCCAGATCGGAGTCGCCACCTAAATATTTTTATTTTGGAAAATTTAGGAAACCCTGACTCGTTTGCCTAAGGCCACGTGTCCGTCATTACCAAAGTTGCCTCGGCTCGGGAGCTTGGGTACGATTGGGGAAGGTCAGCTATGAGCACCCCCTCTCGCCCGATTCGAAGATCGGCCTCTACTAACCATGATATCCGTTTTTGAAAACGTTATGTGTTCTTATTCCGGTTATTAGCCTAGAATTACTATGTTATGCGCACAGCAAACAAGTATAGACCAAATCGCCTAAATTGGAACAAAACATTTCATGCTTGTTTTGAAAATGGTTTGCTACTCGCAAGTTGGCTAAAAATGTAGATTTCGCCACCCTCAGGTGGGCCTTAGAAAAGATGATTTTGCCACTATCTAGTGGGCTTAAAACTCACAGTTTTAATGCGTTATCCCAATTTAGTTAATTCAACCTCCATCCACAGGTATTCAAGCAGTTATATCACATAAGCAGCTAGCCTCATGGTAATCATGCTATTATGGCAACACTCACACGCATGCGGTATGCTAAAGCATAAATGCTTACCGAGTACTCCAAGCCAGAACAGAAGCTAGTTAGTAATCATGTGCATGATCCTAGTTCATGTTGAGATGGCTAATGCAACACATGCAAGATGCAACTACAATAGGCTCGGCTATCCTAAAGATGGCATGTGAAAATGCTGCAACTAACAGGTATTCAACTTGGAATTGAAATACAAGTGCAGTTAATATGATGTACCGAGCCTGGTGCATGTAAGACGAATGAATGGATGCAAACATGCTATCATACTATATGCTAATTGAAGCATGCCCTAGACTAATTATCGAAAGCTAGTAAATAAAAGGGAAGAAAGACGTGGGGTTGGGAGACATACACACACTCACGCACACTTATCACACAATTGCCCTCACTCGGAGGGTCCGAATAAATATTACAGTCCGAATAAATAATACTAAATTAATTATTACAGAATTTCTAATTAATTAACAAATTAAATGTAGAAAGAAGGTGGCCACAGCCCCGCCTCGGGATGCATGAATGATTTATGCTTGACTCGTCTCGCCCAGAAACTCGCTGCCATAGCACTGTTGCCTCTGTTTACACTGCCTTGCCCCTCTAAAAGTTCTGAAAGTCCCCAGGACTGCTCCTTGAGCGTTGTGGAATGTTACCGGCCAAAAGAATATACTACCGGCCATGGGAATACTCTCATCGGCTAAATATTGTGCTCTCGGCCAAACATTCTTTGCCGGTCGGCACTCAACACTGCCGGCCGGCCAAATATTCCTGTTGAAACCTGCGCTGAAACTTGCAGTTGACAGCAGCAGAGGGCAAGCAGCGTATGGCATGGAATTTTCAAGCAAATGTATACATGGACACACTCCCTATCATGTTATGGACTCAAAGGAGCGTGGCCATCGACCCTCGGGGCATCAATTGCGCATTTCGATGCATGATGAAATGTAAAATGAAATGCACACAAAACATACAAAGGGGCCCCAACCTCCATCATGTTTGATCAAGAGGGATGGGATGCAATAAAGCATAACCTTCCAAAAGCATTGAAAGAGTGACACATGTGAGTATATGACAATGAAACATGCTCTGAAATCATGTATCAAATGATGCTAAATCATGTGAATAGCCCAAGCAATGCATGCTAGTGGACTCAAAACACAAGGCTAGTGAGCAAGATTGAACTATGGCTATACAAAGCAAGGCAAGCATGACCAAAACAACTTAAAAAAGAGCTTAAGCATGGAAAAACATGAGCAAAAGCTTCCTGGAGTGGAGCCAAAAGCATACTAAAATGATGGTCCAAAGCATGATGCATGTGAAGGCTATAGGGAGGATTGCACTACAAGTACATGGAGCATGCAAGAGGTGTCCGAACCAATGCAAAACAGGGTTATGACATGCCAATGTACTACCAAAAACATGCTGAAGAGGAGCCAAATCATGCTTGAGAAACATGTCACTTTGGTGAGCCTCAAGTAGGATTACACTACAAGTATTAGAAGCATGCAAGGGGTGACCAAACCAAGCAAAAACAGAGTCAAGGCAGGTCTAAAAAGTCACAAAAACATGCTCAAACAGGGGCTCAAGAAGATGGAAACACATGCTCATTTGGTGAGCCATTAACACAAATCGACAAAAGCAAGGGAGGGGGTACAACCCCCACCCATTTGGGACCTCAAAACCCCATCCCCACCACTAAAATTCCTCTAGAATTTAGTGGTTAGAAGGCCAAGAAAAGACCAGCTCAGAGGTCAACAAAAGTGGCCCAAAACAAGGCAAAACAAAGCTCAAAAGGGGATAGATCACCCCCAACACCAAAATGACCTCAAACAAACATGTTAGGGACTTAAAAACAAGACTTTTTTTAGTTGAGAGGTAAGTCTAAAACAGCATGCAAATATGGCAAAACAAGCTATGAAAACAAGGCTTAAAAGAGGTAAAAAGCTCACCCTTGAAGCACAGCAGCAAATCAGCAACTTTTGGACCAAAAAAAAGGCTTCAAATCACCCCAAAAATCACCTCTAAGGACCTCAGCTCAATAAAGGGAGTAGAGAACTAGGTGTTTGTGTGCAAAAGTGCAAAGAAAATGCACTTTTGAGCACAAACAAGCCCTAAACCTTAGAGAGAGAGGCAGAAAATGTAGCGATAAAGATTTTTTTTCCTCAAAGTTGTATCTCCTCCTTTTTTTCTTTTTTTTTTTGTTTTTTTCCTTTTTTGAGAGGGCTTGATTGATATAGATATATATCAATCTGCAGCTCCTCAGAACACCCACGTCCAGGTATGGGCTGCGGTATGGCCTAGAATGACAGCTGTGCCAGTTGTCTACAGAGATATCTGTTGAAAACCACACTTGGCCGACCGGCCATCAAAGTGGCCGACCGGCAGTCAAACTGGCCGGCCGGCCATCACATTTGGCTGATTGAAAAGCAAGGTGGCTGATGGGCAGGAGGCTTGGTTGACAGGCCATCCCCTTCCCTCAGGAACACATCCACAAGCTCTTGGTGCAAAACCAGACACAAAACAGTCGAGCCGAGAGATCCTGAGGCAAGGCGCGTAGCCGAGGCCTCCGGGAACTCAAGACGAACACAAACAAGGATGATCACTGAGTGTTCAAACGGTGACGTCCAAGTCTTGAGGACGGTCAAAAATGGGGTGTCTACACCAAGTTTACCTTTTTGGGAACAAATATTGCAATTTCCCTTTTTCCCAATCTAATATATATATACCCATCATGCCGTGTGCAATAAACATTAAATTCAATCTTGAATATTATATATTAACATTTTGCTCCAATGTTTTTCACTCCACAAACACAGGAACAGTAAAATACAATAATCGCATAAATAAAATAAACTAAAAACTAATAACAATAATCAGAAGTGTTACAAGATCAGGGTAATGAAGGAGTGACCAATACCTGTGAACCCCAGCCGATAACACCAATTTGCTTAATGCCCTTGAAGGCATCAGGTAGCAACGGAAACAGATCCCTCCCTCCTCTAACAATATACTACAAATGCACAACACAATCATCACACACACACACACACACACACACACACACACACACACACATATATATATATATATAGAGAGAGAGAGAGAGAGAAATGTTGAGAGAGCAAGTGAGGAAATGGAGAAAACACCTCGTCATGGCCAGCAAGAGTAATTTTCTCCTTCTTGAACACTGAGCTGTCGAAATCAAGTGAAGTCATCTCGGGCATAGAGACCATGCGAGCTCCTAGAGCTGAGCCTAACCCAACCCTATTTCCAAGCATGACTTGAGCTTTGAGAGCCTTCAAAGTTGTCTTCGAAGACGAAGACAAGAGAAACCCAAGATTGAAACCTAGGGTTTTGGAGGCAGGCTTCAGGGTTTTGGAGGACGAAGATACAGAACCAGCAGCAGCTGCCATTGAGGAAGAGAAGAAAGTAGCCGCCAACATGGATGACTGAGACTGAAGAAATCATTGAGAGATCATGCAGCGATAAGTAGGGGTGTGTGCAGTGTGATTCAGTGCTGTTTAAGAGTAAAAGAGAAATCATGCGACGGGTGGCAGATTGACAAATTTGTCATTAGAAACCACCATTTTTCTATCAAAAACTGACAAATCAATTGGCAAATAATAGCAGTTTCAACTTGGCAGTTCGGGAGGTTTGGTGAATTATAGAAAACTTAATTCAAATTACAAAACTTGAATCAAATATTTAAAATATAATAATTTATAAATCAACTGAACCAGTCAAAATTAAAATAGATATCCATTCATCTAACATTCAACAATGACAAACTAGCAAATTAAAATTCCAACAATCCAAACAAATTATATAATAACAATCCAAAACCACTGCCTAAACCTTCCGAGTGAAAAAAAGAAAAGAAAAGAAAGAGTTAATTTGCTTCTGTGCCACCACAATCTCTCTTTTTAAGTTGATAAGGTTTGTTGGTTTATATATATATAGGGGGCAGCTTGCCTCTAGTCCTTAATCGAACTGGACGGTACTGTTCGGCCTGTGAGAGCTCACCACGGGTCCCATTTTGATAATCTGAACCGTTCAATATGTAGAACTCGTCGTGTACTATGTACTTGTAAAAAATCACTTTGATCGGATATTGATAGCTATCTCATCTTATTAGTTTTTTGTCAACCGTTAATTTGTTCACCATCCATTTTTTTTTTTATACAAAACTAATTTGATCACATAACTATTGATATCCGATCAACGTAATTTTTTACAAGCATATAATAGTCGACGAGTTCTACATATTCAATAGTTTGGATTATCAAAACAGGACCCGTGATAGCTCCACAGGCCGAACAGTTCCGTCAAGTCCGGTTAACGACCAGAGGCAAGCTGCTCCCTATACATATATATAGACGATTTTTTTTATCATCCAAAAATAAAATAATCATTCTTACCCAATTTATCACCCAAAAAAAAAAAAAAAATCATTCTTACCTAGTTATTAGTACAAAATAAAAATTGAGTTTAAGTTTTTTGGATTAAGTTTTTTTAAAAACTGAAATTTTTTTTATTTTCGTGTTTTTTTTAAGTGAATATTTTTAAAATTTTAAATATTTTTTTTACTTAGATATATCTAAAAAGTAAAAAATTATGAAAAAATATTTTAAAAAATTAATAAATACATAAAAATACCCAAAAAAAATGTACTGAATTCTCAATTTTTTTTTTTGTATTTTTGGTATTTAGTGAATTTAAAAAAAAAATCACAAATTTTTTACTTTTTAGCTATGTTTATGTTAGGTATGTCTAAAAATTAAAAAAATTACTTAAAATATTAAAAAATTCAATAAAAATAAAAAAAATACGAAAAATAAGAAAATATAATTCTCTAAAAAGTATTTTTAAAAAACTCTAATCAAGCAATTAGAATACAAATTTAAAGAAGAATATTACTTGACAGTAGAATATTTAGTGAGTACATTGTTAAAATCACTCAATGTTCATCAAATATAAGAATTTTTCAACCTCTCACAACTTCACAATAAACAGAATCAGGTCAGCAAAACAAAAAAAAAAAAGAAACAGAATGTGAGAGAGAGAGAGAGAGAGAGAGAGAGAGAGCGCAAAGAGAAAGAAAGAGAGACTTACCAAATCGGCAAGCTGTATGGCGATCTGAGAGGAGACTAACTGGTGGCGGCGGCGGCAATCGGCAAGGTGAGGAGGAGCGAGACAGAGACACAGAGTTCGTAAAATGAATGAGATGTTTTGGGACTGTGGATTAGGTTAAGGAGCCGTAGCACTTAAAATCAGCTTACACGAGGCTACTATTTTAGTATTTTTTTAATTTTTTTAGTTAAAATATGAGTTAAAAAAAATTAGGAATGATGTTACGAAACTCGCACATGTGCAGTAAAATGGACTTATTTCAAGATCCATTTTGATAATCTAAACTGTTCATATTTTACAATACATCAAGTAAAACATGTTTGTGAAAAATCAAGTTAATCAGATATCATTTGTCTATTCATTCACTAACATTTATATTCATTTTAATACTTTAAATCACAATTATTATTTATTTTTATAGATACAAATGTAAGTAGATGAATAGGTAAACGATATTCGATTAACTTGATTTTTTTAAAAGTATGTTTTATTTGATGAATTTTAAAATGTAAACGGTTCGTATTATCAAAATTGGCCCATTTCGCCACATAGCAGCCCACGCAGCAACATCCCCAATTTGTAAAAAAAATTAGTATGTGTAGACGCGCCCGCGTGGGCCTTTCTACAGTTCGAACTCGATTTGTGTCACGGTTCTTAATCTGAACCAAAGAGTCCAAATCTGGCAAATTGTTTTTGAGAAAACAGATTTTTAGAAAAGAAGTGCCAAACATGGACTGCTTTGCCAGATACAGAGTCGCCACCTAAATATTTTAAAATGGGGGAATTTAGGAAACCCTGACTCGGTGCCAAAGGACATGTGTCCGTCATTGCCAAAGTTGCCTAGGCTTGGGAGCTTGGGTACAATTGGGGAAGGTCAGCTATGAGCACCCCCTCTCGCCCGGTCTGAAGACCGACCTCTACTAACCGTGATATCCGTTTTTGAAAACGTTATGTGTTCTTATTCCGGTTATTAGCCTAGAATTACTATGTTATGCGCACAGCAAACAAGTATAGACTAGATTGCCTAATTTGGAAATAAGCGCCGCGCATCCGTTTATTTTGGAAAACGTTTTGGAATTTGCTACCCGCAAGTAGGCTAAAAATACGGATTTTCAATGAACTTTTCCAACTCAGGCAGTCCAACCTTCACCCACAGGCATTCAAACAATTTATCACATAAACATTTAGCCGCATGGCAAGCATACTGTCATGGCAACACTCACACGCATGCGGGATGCTAAAGCATAAATACTTACATCGTACTCCGTGCCAAAATAATAAACTAGTTAGCAAACATGCGTGATCCTAGTTTATGTCGGATTGTCTAATGTAACACATACAGGATGCAGTCAAAGTAGGCTCGGCTAACCTAAGCATGACATGTGAAATGTGACCAATTGATGCACGTATTCAATTTGGAATTGAAATACAAATGCAGTTAGCGTGATGTACCGAGCCTGATGCATGCAATACAAATGCATGAATGCACGCATGCACAGCATAAGGTATGCTAATTTTAAACGTGCCCTAATACTAACCATCAAAGCAGGTAAATAAAAGGGAAGAAAGACGTGAGGTTGGAAGACATACACACACTCACGCACACTTATTACATAATTGCCCTCACTCGGAGGGACCAAATAAATATTACAGACCGAATAACAAATACATTAATTATTACAGAATTTCTAATTAATTAATAGAAAGAAAGGAGAAGGGTGGCCGCAGCCTCTGCCTCGGGATGCGCGAATGATGCATGCTCGAAACCCGGCTCACCTGGAAAACCCGTACCATACCCCTGCCACCTCTGTTTATACTACCCTGTCTCTCTGAAAATTGCCAAAGCCCTAGGATAGGTTCCTTGCATACTGCAGAGTACCACCGGCTAAGGGAAATTCCCACCGGCAGTGCAGAATTTCCATCGGCTGTTTTTGGATTTATCGGCCATTCACCAATGGCCGGTCGGCATTGAATTCTGCCGGTCGGCAGAAGCTTCCTGCAGAAGACAGTTTTGACAGCAACAGAGAACAGACAGTATATGGCATGGGATTTCAGGCACATGTAAGCATGGTCATGCTTCCCAGCATGCTTTGAACTCAGGGAAGCATGGCCCTCGATCCTTGAGCCATCAATGGTGCATGATAGCCCAAGGGATCAAGTTTGCCACTTGATGTAAAGATGCATGCAACCACACAAATGAGGACCAAGACCCAATCATGCCGAGTCAAGGGTCCCGGTGACCGAGAATCAAGGCACATTACATCACTCATAGTATGAATGTTCCTTGACCCTCACACTTGGCTTGACACCCCAAACCAAGTAATGCAATGCATGTTATGCTCACATGGCTCAAAATGCAACATGATACTAATTATGCAAGGCATGCCAAATGTCATGCAACTAATATGACAAGTATGTAATGCTAGGCATACAAGATGCAAATGCAATGCAAACATGGACCATTTGAGGAATGGGATCAACATATTACAACACTTAATGAAGCAATCATGCAATGGACATGAGACAAGCATGCAAGAGGGCCTTGAACCATAAAGGGGCAGACCTTGATCCACCCCAAAACAGTGGCCAAAAGTGCCTAGAAAGGTGGACAAAAACTCATGCCAGCAAGCAAGCCAATGGTCCTAAGGTTAAGGCACAAAAGGGGGCGCTTCACTTCCAACAACATGACCACTCATGGCATGAATTGGACAAGCCAAAATAGTAACTTAGCATACAAAATGGACTCCAAAACCTACTAACATGGCAGCTAAGGTGGCTCCAAAGAGACGTATGCACCGAAGCCCATTTCTAGGCATAAGAGGGCACACCCTCAAGGCATGAAAGAGGTCACACATGCACACATATAAATATGATTTATGGACTGAAATATGGTCCTAAATGATGCCAAATCAAGAGGATGGCCATAGCTACACATGCTAGAGGTCAATATGCTCAAGGCTTACAAGCCAAAACACAAAGAGACAACACCAACAAAGCAAGCATGACTGAAATAGATGGCCAACAGACCTCAAACATGATAAAATAATGCCAAAACCTTCATGGAACTAAGCCAACACATGCAAGAATTATGGCCTGAACACAAGGCGCATTTCTAGGCCAAATAGGGGGATGTAAAGCAAGTATATTAAGCATGCAAAAAGCCACAAATCTGACTAAAAACAGAGATTACAAATGACCTAAAAACACCCAAAAACCTCTGAAAAAGGGCTAAAACCAATCAAGCATGCATGTTACCCTTTAAGCCAAAATGCAAGGAAATAAGACAATGAAGGGAGAGGGGTGT